ATCTGTGTGCTACAGCATGGGATTTCTGTCGCATAATAATGAATATCTATTACGTTTATTTACACAAATCCATTACTTTTTAAAGGCAGCTTCATCAGACAATCAAATTTAGTTAAATGTCCCAATCTTCAAGGAACTGTATTAAGCTTATGTATAGCGGTTTGAATCACCCCGAGAATCGCCCCATAAGCTGGACAAAAATATTTTTGAAAATGTGCGTTAAAATGGCCCCCATCTTATGTAAAATTGAAATAAAAATTACAAACCAAAAAACGTAATAGGTGTTTTTGAAGGTCTGGCCACCTGTATATAGATATGTATAAAACTAGTAGCCTAAGAATCATTTACAGTTCGTCCCGTTCTAAAAAAAAGGTAAACACATCGTACAAATAACTCTAGGAAGAGGTATTTGTACGGTGGTAAAAAAATTTTTAAACGAGGCCGAAGGGGCAGATATAATAATGCAATAAAATGTGAAAAAAGGGCGGGTAAACACCTTTGTTTATTTGTTGAGCAAAATTCCTTAGAATATCGTATATAATGACCAAAATATGACGCAATTTTAAGAAAAAAATGTCACTTTCAGGCTTATAATAAAGTTTCAAATGCAACGTTTATATTCAAATTTGTTATGATCTACAACAGTTAAGTAATTGAGACGAATTATAATTCAATTACTGGATACTACGTTCTTGTTTTAATAGCTCAAAATTCAACAAATATAATTAGAAATTATTTTAATTGATCCCCAGGGACGCCCATGTACGGCGATTACGGCGCGGCGTAAACAATACCTACCTGTGAAAAGACAAATTCGTGTAATTTGAGCTTATTTTTCCACACATTTGACACTGTCATACCATATTGAAAATTCGCAGATTCAAAAGTAATGTTAAACAAAAGTAAAACTACTTAAAAATCACTCGAAAAGTTCACTCGGACTTGATTCCGACTTCAAACACACCGTAAGCTAAACGTAGTACGCTATATCGGACCAAGGGCCGTCGCGAGGGGTGGTGGGACGGACGGCTCATTTCATTCTGGAAGATTAGCAGCGACGTTGCAAATAGTTCTAGACGTTTCAGCACATCAAACAGTAAACATGTCCTTAATAGTAACGCATTTATCCTCTGGTTAATAACCATATTATTACGCATGCTTCTTTAAAAATAAACTATTAATTTAATTAAGAAATTGAGATTTATTGATATCCGGTGAAGGTTTTGAAGTCACCTTTCCTGCAAATCAAACTAAGTAGATAGGCGCAAATTTGAGATGTGGCAATGTCGCCTTCTCTATCTCAGTTGGTTTTTACAGTACGTAGTCAACCTCCGATTGTTTGATCGGGTTAAAATGCAAAATGTGATATCTGTTCTTCCTAAATCTATGATCTAAACCTTGCAGTGTTGCACCCTCCTATGTTATCGACATTCTACATAGTTCGGCGGAACATAGTTCTACATTTATAAATTCATAGACAAATTTCTACTCAAAAAATTAGGAATGTTAAATTTAATCTTTTATCAGTGCTCATTTTACTAATTATAGAAAAAAAAAAAAACACATTAATTATTTTAGTAATTTCTACTCTTTCAATGAAAACTTAAACTAAAACCACCGAAAATTAACTAAAACATTAGGTTTATGACGTTTACGAAAATCTTTGTTATGCTGCAAAATAATTTTATTCTGGAATAAATTTAATAAAAATGATTCATATATTATTCACAATCAGGTCACAAAAGAAATTCCTAAAATATTTATCATCGTAATTCTAGAATTCATCCAAGAAATTTAGAAAAACAGCCCAACGAATAATTGATTCATTTTTGTTTTGTTTGTTTTCTTTCATGTTTCTGTTTTATTTGAACCACTGTTTTACAAAACACCTTGAAAAGCGTATATTACTTTGAATACCTTTCTGAATGAATAAATGTTGAGAATTATTGTCTCTTATCGCCACTTTACGAACTACTTTCAATCTAAGAAAATACATTGTGAGTGATTCAAATTGTGATGAGGCCTGTATGAAAATAATGTGTTAAAAATGGGGACTGTTATTTTAGTAGTTATTATAATAACTACAGCATGTACAAGTAAAGCAGCACAGTGAAGTGTATTTTAGTTAAGTATATATCGAAAAAGAGAACTGTCACAGTTACATCGATCTGTCATAAGTATCTCTTTTAATGTTGGGTAAGTTTTTAATTTAACTTTTTTAACACATTTTTAACACATTATTAAACATTTAACTTTTTAATTTATTTTATGTAATAATATCACAATCTTAAATGTAATGCATCTCTGAAAACTCCTCAGGTGTTGTGAATTTTGTGACTTTACTTTTAAACATATACTCTCTTGTCCCTATGGCAACACAGTGTGTCGAATTAACTGAAATCAGGGTAATTGGATGGGGCTATGATATCTGTCAAGTGATTCTCAAAATGTTGGTGATTATTTTAAATTTCAAAGTTAAATAACTCGGTTATTTTCAATTTATTTTAAAAATGGTAAAGAGAAAATATGTTTATTTTGACCAGATCTACCACCCCTTAAAATATCTGCACTCATTTCTGGGACACCCTGTATATTGTATTTATTAACTGTATATTATGTAAACTATATCATTTTTAAAATACACACCAAAAATCTGAGGAATAATTATGTTTTCCACGAGGGGTAAACCGCAGAGGGAAAAGGTACAATCGTAATTCTTTACTCAATACTCAGGACTCCTCGTAATTCCTTCTCTGGAATTCCTTGAATTCTTAATCTTCAAGGTCAAGGTGAATCATTCAAGGTCTTCCTTTGAATTCCTTGGTACGAACTCGGTAAATCCTCTAAATTGAACCAGTATTACACCTCGGTTTCTGCAGTTCCAAGAATCTCTATGATTTTTATAATGTCTGAAATGTCTCTATTAGTACTAGATCTAACAATAAAAAAGTACTATTACGAGATTTACATTGCTTTTAAGTTAAATTTTAGGACTAATAGGGAATCATGAGGTGAAAATACTGTGGAAATATGTCGGCACTTACTTCTATTAAAATTAATTTTTCTCGGGATTTTTGAAAATGATAGGGTACCTTAGTTATACCTGTATCTATAGGAAAGGGAATTAATAAAACTTCAGTCGCACGTCATAATACGATCACCACTAAATTCCATAAGATTACGTATATGGTATCATTGATGAAGTGCACCTAGAGTTGTATTAATTTCCCTATAGTAGGCAGCAATTCCTAGGTATTATTCCTTGAGGAAATGAAAAACTCAATTACACTTCTGAGTAATTGAATAAAAAAATCTTAAGGAGGGTTTCTTTAAATGGCGAAATCAGGGAACGTTATAAATAGATCTCTCGGGGGTGGTCTGGCCGTACTATTGGAAAATATTTTAGATATATAACCGAGGGTACAATATTAAATTAAAAGAATATCTAACCTGTAGATATTTGATATTGGGAAATTTTGGAAGGGAAAAGCGAAAACGGATAGTAAAAAATCGCCTGTAAAACGTTTTTCTTTAAATTTAGTACCACCTATTATAGTATTCATGGTTTACTAATGTTCGTTAATTTTTTATAAAGTTGCTTGTAATTCCTCTTAATTCCTGTGGAATTCCTCTAAATTTCTAAGGAATTCCTTGGAATTCATTGGAATTCTTACGGAAATAATTGGAATTCCTAGTAATTCCTATGGAATTCCTTGGAATTCCTCGTAATTAAAACGTTAAACACCGGATTGAATCGTCTTTGGGGCAAGGTTTATTGTGAATATTAAGGATTTACACTTTGAATAAGAAGACTAAGGAAGGAGCATATCAAAAATCTTAGGTACACCGGGATGGGCCTCAAATATGGCCGACTTAAATTCCGGTTTATCAGTACGTTCTAATTTCATTTATAAACAAACCATGACGTAGGGTAGATCGGGATAGACTCGACAATTTGTTGTTTTATTTAACGTTGAATAAATGTTGGTAGTTATTAAAATTGTTATAAAAATATATAATTCTAATAAAATAGATAAGTTATATACGGCATTATTAACACAAACATCCGATAACGCTACTGAAGCAGGTAAGTCAAATTAACGTATCTAAATCTTTGACATCTAATCTTTGACAAGTAATAAATAAAAAACTTTAAAAAAAAAAACATATAATTTAGTTAATTAAGGAATTTCATAAATGATCGGTTTACTACACGTATGTATATTATATAGTCACTTACTAGCGAAAAGTTGTTCCATTATTTCACCCAATTTTTGCCGAGATCTACCGCACGCCGCAAGCTACACAACCAACTATTTTAGAGTCTCTTTCGATAAATCGCAATAATAGTGTCACTGTTAATTTAAGTTCTGCAATAATTTCCATCTAGATTTAATTTCTACCTTTTATACAACTATCAGTGTAGGAATAATAATAAATAACATAAAATAAGTTCTGTAAAGACTGACAAATCCACAAAATTTCAAATCAAATTCAAATGTAATAAAATGAACTGTCAAACAGAACTGTCAAAGATCCCCAATCCCCACCCTAGAGAGCTTTATGGTGGTTTTTCCGCCCACCATGCATGAATACATGATAGTATTATGTCTTCCTTAGTCTTCTTATTCAAAGGGTTTTACAATAGTCTGTTATTTTTTTTTAGAAAATAAAATGAATAAATAAATAAATAACGTCTTTATTTTTTATTCGACGAAATTCAGCAGAGCTGTTAAGTTAACCGAGCATATAAAAAAAGTAAATAATATAATATATTCTATTATCATATTTATAAACTAAAAATTTAGAGGGCGTCGTGACCCTAATCAAAATATTATGGGTGATTCAGTTCTAAATTTGTTAACAAAAATATTTTGTTACTTTAACATTCGTATGTTAATTATAATAGGTAGGGGTAGATACATACGTGAGATTATATGCTTGAATAACTGTGTTTTGTAGAGTTACAGGACTGTAATATTTAAATATTCTTTTATTAGATCGAGAGAAGCGGAGAAAGAAGTCTACAAATGTACCATGTGTCGCTATGAAACGCGACGTGAGCCAAGTCTTCGCAAGCACATGCAAACTCATTTGGCACCGGAAGACCGACAGTTGTTTGTATGTACACACTGTGATAAGAAATATACAACAAAGAAAGCCTTACAATGTCACCTTGACATTAAACATGTGGATTCCAGGTAAATTTGTTGTTATACAGGGTCCGGCAATAGAATAGAATAGAATAGAATAGAATAAGTGGGAGGGGGGTTAATCTCTGCGACCTTAGAGATCTATTGTGTCCCCCTTTCTTGAGTTATAACTCATCATACAGTAAGCTTGTAATTGAATACTTTATTTTACTTTAATTCATATTAATTTGTATTTATAAATACATCTTTAAGATTTCCGATGTAGGAATGAGTTTTCAATAATAATAAAGCACCATAGATAAATGCAACAAGTTTGGATTGGAAAGCCCGTAAAAATTTTAGGTCGCGAAATTATTTTGTGTCGCGACCGTTATACGCGATCTGGCGCTACTATAGCGGTCGCTAAGAACAACGGCAAACAAAAACAGAAATAATTTTCTCTTGTCAAAGTCAGAATCTTCAAAAATCATAATAATCTTTCAAAAAATCTAAACCGCTCTCATTAAAGAAATTCCGAAAAGTGTTTATAGCGTCCACAAAGTAATTATTAAGTTATCTTGTGAGTTTAATTCAAGTTTTATTTACTCCAACTGGTGATAATTGTGAAAAAGTGGCATTAAAAACTTAAAAAGTTGTGCTGTGAACTGTGAACTGAAAAACCATCGTGGATCGTGGCATAACGTCGGTTTCCAATGTTTCATAGGTATTTCATACATGTCCCTTTATATAAAATAAAGTTTATTGTATGCAACACACTGTATTTTATTTACAAAAATTAAACGAAAATAATAATAAATTTGGAATAAACAATAATATTTGGCGATATAATTCCGGAAAAAGCCGAACCGCTCTGAAATTTTCAAAAGTTAAACAGTAGTAGTGGCGAAACCTATTCGAATGAATACTATCGAAACATCCGATTGTTGCAATTCATTCGAATAATGGCGATAGCTTTTAGATAAAAAATCATTTTTTTTTTTTTTTTATTGTATAAAAATTATTGAATAGATGCGTCATCTGCTTTGAAATATTGTATTCTAGTTAATTCGGCATGCAAAAAACCATTTCATTTATAAAATTCATTCATTTATGAAATTCATTTCGTCAGGATCGATTATAATAAAATATTAACTGGATTTTAGGTTTCTTTCCAAGAAACCCGACAGCGAGCGGTCGGTGGCAATGCTATGAAAGAAAGCCGGCATCTTTGATTTTGCGGAGGTCATATAAACATAAGGACACATTATTTTTTTTATTGAGGTCTTAGTTATTTACACAGAAATACATTATGAAGGGCGCTGTTGCCATATATTGGTATTAGGCTCGGTATTAATTGATATTAGCAAAGAATATTATTGTCTGGCTTAGTTAGTTAGGATAGTAATGTCTGTATATTTTGCATTTTTTTTATTAATATTCTGTTGTTACACTGCCATAATACTTTTTATATTGGATGTAGTAAATGATTTTTAAATTGTTTTTTAAGCAAAGACGGGTTTTAATAAAAAAATAATAGTAATAATTTGTTAACCAGTTAATAATTTGTTATACCTATTTACAACAAAATTTAAAATAATTTAATATAATTTTTTTTTACGTAGTAGCCAAAATATTAAACAAACAAAGTAGATGTCAAAATTATTTTATTATTAGATCTATTAAAAAATATATAAGTCTTTTAAATTTTTGGGCAACGTTGTTTATTAAATAATAATTATTACAGAAACTAATTTGTTATATTAACAACAAACTTTTAAATCATGAATATAAACATTTATTATTTTCTAAGCATGCAGTGTAATGGAAGGAAATATAATAAAAAAATTAGAAATTAAAAATTATTTATTAGGTACTTTATTTACTATAAAAATAATATTTATTTTTACTGGCATTATTTTAAAAAATAAATGAAAAATATTTTCTTTCGCAAAAAACTACATGTAAGAGAATTAGCATAACAAAATTACAAACATCGTTAAACTTTTTTTTTTTCTTAAATTGGCACGTGTAAAACTTTCATTTAATTTTTCACACCCCATAGTTTGAGTTCGAAAACCATTTTACTTTAACCACATTACTTAAATATGATTATTAAGTTCAACTTATTCATATTATAAAACATCTAAAATACAAATATTGTATTTTTAAAAATTATTTCTAAGTTCATCTCATCACTCTTTAAAATTGCTACTTCTCAAAATTTCCATTAAAAAAGTACTATACCATATTAAAATAAAATTAATTGAAGATCGGGCTACGGAAAATCACACAAATTTTGGAAAAAATTTATGGACACCTGCACACGCACACAATCGACATTAAAAAAAACTACTATTTTAGTATTTTAAATATTTTTAATAACGCAAAATAGCACAGTATTTATAAGGTGAAGTTTAAAAATTGGAAGAAACTAATAATGCACGCTCAGCCGGAGACACCCTGTATACAAAAAAATTAAAAATTTCATTTTATTCAAAGTCATTCAATAGTCGCTCAACGATAACCATTTATTTAGTCGCACGGCGAGGTTTGTCACATATGCTTTAGTATACAAATGAATGAATGATTTATCGAATAAAACATTCGATAGTTGAAATCATTCATTTCAGTAACAATATTCGAATAGTCTAATTCATTTCGATAGTTCCCATCGCTAATAAACAGCGTAATAGAGAGATATCGCTAAACCTAATAGCGGCATGGACGTTAATAAGTCCAGGTGTTATTTCCTTTACGTGAGGTGGTATTAACTCTCTTCATTATAGTTATCGGATCGGAAATAATTTTGTTCGCGTGGCGTTCCACTATTTTAAACCTAACCTAACTTTTGAAATTGTTTTTTGTTTACTAGGTATTTTAAAACTAAAGGGCTAAAGTGCTTATTCCAGTGCTTTATTGTTAAACGTCTGCCAATGGGTTTAGGGCAACAAGCCACAAATTCTCTTAGAAGGGCTAAGTCTTCATCTGCTGTAAACCTAAGACCCTTTATAGGTTCTTTATTGGAAGAGGTGGATCCATATTTTGGGCCATATTTATTAATTAAAACTTAATCCCAGCTACTTAAATATCAAATTACTAATAAAACTAAAGTAATAATTCAAAACAATTCAAACTAACCTAAAATAAACGATCTCGCCGGCCGGCCCCGGTTGTCAAATACCAGCACATGCCCATTTAAGCAATTTTTTAAACGTTATTTAGAAATAGCGCCTGGTGTAACTGATCCGCAAATTACGTCAGGCGTAACGTTATTAGCGCGTGTTGCGTTAAAAATTGACTCGCGCATATCGTAACCATGATAAGGTAGGTACGCGTAAATACTGCATGACGCTATTCGGTTTTCCGAAATCTCTCTAATAACTGTGCCGGTCAGGCGCTGTGCACATTTTTAGAGGCCATAAGTACACGTGCTATATGCCCGATTCCGAAAATTACCACGAAAAACTATAAAAAAAAAAAAAAAACAATAAAGAAAAAACAAAGTTTATAATCTGTATAATCTGTGGTAATACATTGATGATTTACAGTGTCACAGATAAAGTCTGCATGCTTTATTCATTGATTTAGGTCAAATTTGACTTTGAGGTTAATAAAACGTACAGGGTGGATCAAATTCGACGTTTTTAAATGGAAGCACCCTTTTCTATAGGAGATAGACAAAAACTAATATCGGTGACTGGAGCTCAATTTTTGTCAAAAACAAGATGGTGAAAACCGCATATCGATATCTGTTACCATTTCGGAGTTACGGGGTGTTTTTCAAAAATATGCATTTTTAACAAATCGCTGTAACTTTTTTGCTATGGAAAATTTTGTATTTTTATGAAAACATTTCCAAAGCACCTTTTTACGTAAAATTTAACGGTTTAAGTATAATTTTTTTAGAATTAATAATTTAAAAATTATCAACAGAAAATTTGATTTTTTATATGGGACACCCTGTATATTTTTAATTTATTGAAAAGAATTTAAAATTATCTTTCCAAAAATATAACACACTTGATATTTTGCTCGATTCCTCTACGAGATATAGAATATATAAAAATTCGCCCGCTTGAAATAAGTAGGCTTGGAACGGCACCGGCTGTAATGCAAAAAAAATCTAGCTGTGAGCTTCAATTAAAACGAAAATAATATTTGCTATGAGAGATGCAGAATTTTATAACAATTTAAAATAAATTTAACCAACATCAACACATTTAAACTATATCTAATAACAATGAAAATAAATTGCAAACCAAGACATGAGATTTTGCTACAGGTGTTCGACATATCGACCGTCTTCTGTTATGGACAATTTTTGAACATTTCTCGCGGAATTCATTAACTCAGTGGAGGTGAATGATACCCTCTCATAACTGCTAAGTACTTCTAATTCTTGTCGAGATTATACGGAAGAATAAGGAACCTTTATTCTTCCGCAAATATATCCATGGGCACTAAGTCAGGCGGCCTCGACGGCCAACGGCTGGGATCTTGGTTAGGTATTCAATTATTCTTGAAATTGGCTGCAAAAATTTGCTGATAACTTCAGCGTTCAGAGGCGGTGCCTCGTCTTGCTGGAAAATATGTTTTCGAGTTCCATTAAGAGTATCTCATCAATTAGGGGGCCAAAGCCTACTAGTTAAAAGTGGCAAACTTTTAAAAATTCTGTTTTTCGAAGGGGATTATAACAAAATATCAAGTGTGCTATATTTTTGGAAAGGTAATTTTAAATTCTTTTCAGTTAATTAAAAATATAGAGGGTGTCCCAAATAAAAAATTAATTTTTCTGTTGATAACTCTTAAATTATTAATTTTAAAAAAAGTATACGTAAACCATTAAATTCTACGTAAAAAGGTGCTTTGGAAATGTTTTCATAGAAATACAAAATTTTCCATAGCAAAAAAGTTACAGCGATTTGTTAAAAATGCACATTTTTGAAAAACACCCCGTAACTCCGAAACGGTAACAGATATTGATGTGCGGTTTTCACCATCATGTTTTTGATGAAAATTGAGCTCCAGACACGGATATTAGTTTTCATCTATCTCCTATAGAAAAGGGTGTTTCGCTGTTGCTATCGGGTATTTGTTAAATTTGACATTTAAAAAAATATGGCTAAAAAAGTGGGTTTATTGAGCAAATTTTGAAACACTTTATGTGTAAAATATTTTATAGGGTTACAAGACTGTAATATTTAAATATTATTTTATTAGATTGAAAGAAACTGATAAAAAAGTCTATAAATGTGCCATATGTGGCTTTCGAACGCTATATAGTTCAAGTCTTCGCAGTCACAAGAAAACTCATTTCGCACCGGAAGAACGAAAGTTCGCTTGTATACACTGTGGCAAGGAATGTACAACAAAACAAAGCTTACGTCATCACATTGAGGATAATCATATTGATTCCAGGTAAATTTATTTTTAGGATAAGAATTACTTCTAAATCATAGGCGTATCTCGATTTTTGGCGATTTTGAGATATCAACGTCATGACTGATGTCCATTGGGAAATTTTTTAACATAGCGAATTTATGCATCTCAATATTATACCTTTTTTTATTTTATATTCATTTAAAAATTTGCCCCACCTCAAATACTAGAATTCTTCGTTATGACGAAGAAACGTAAGTTGAGGTAGGGCTCGGTATTATGTCTATTGTTATACCCTGGATCAATGCCGTCTCTAATAGAACAGCCTTGGGGCGAGATTTATGACGTCACGCTAGTTAGATACTACGGATTAATAAATATGTTGTAGAATACATGGAAAACATAATTATTCCTCAGATTTTTGGTTTGTATTTTAAAAATGATATAGTTTACATGAAATATACATAATATACAGTTAATAACTACAGCATATATACCTATTTATAGTAATAAATACTTTGGCAAATAAACTATGAACCATATAAATGCAGCAAATGTTTTATAAATATACAAATAATGTATTACATAAGATATTGGGTAAAATGTAAATATATTTTAAATTTTGGGGTTTGAAAATCGATCTAATTTAAGAAAAAACATTCAATATCTACTAATAGTGATGTATTATTATTTGCATTCACAAAATTTATATGTATATTTTGCAAGTATCAATGTTTATCAATTATATTTACAAATAATACAATATCATCTAAAAAAAGGCGTCAGCGATGGCTATGAAATGAAGATCGCTGGCATTTTATATGTTAAATTATTCTAAAATTTTTGATTTTCTTGGGATTTTTAGGTTCGGGAAAAACGCTGATTTAAGTTTTCATTTGGGTTTTCATTATTTTTATTTGGTTTAAAAAAATACGTTTCGGCTAACTATAGCCTTCATCAGTGTTGTGTCATATGAAAAAAATAGTGTCGAATATAATCCAAAAAATTACATATAAAATATTCACACCACATAATGTTTACTGCAATTAATAAACTAATATAAACTTATCAAAAGATACCACATATTTTTTAGAATTACTATTCTTAACAGTAAAACTATCTACATTGACTATGGAGTACGCAGTAAACATTATGTGGTGCGTGGTGTGAATATTTTATATGTAATTTTTTGGATTATATTCGACACTATTTTTTTCATAATATGACACAACATTGATGAAGGCTATAATGTTAGCCAAAACGTTTTTTTAAACCAAATGAAAATAATGAAAAACCAAATGAAAACTTAATCAACGGTTTTCCCGAACCTAAATCCCAAGAAAATAAAAAAATTTAGAATATTTAGAAACAAGGTTCAAGAATATCAAATTTTCCAAGATTGTAAAATTTTAGTTAATTATTTTATGTGTACAATTATTTAGGGAATGTCATCGATGTTCATTTCCAAGCCAACTAGACGCCGATTTCTTTCGATGATAGGGTATAATTCTTACACATAAAATGTAAATAACATTCGACCAATTAAAACAAAGAAATATGAATTTCTTAGTATTTTTAGTAACACCTTTATTCTTAAAACTTAATTTTGTATTATGCAAATATACCAATTTTATTGTTATTTTATTCATATTGTATTCATCCATCGCTTAAATATTTGATATTAATTTGGTATTATAAATAATCAACACTATTCAGTAAAAATTACTGAACAAATATATGTTATGCTTTACATACATTATTCTTTATTTTTCCCTAGATCATAATACCTACTTACGTGTTTGAATCTATCGAAGCTGAACCAACAATACTTGTAGTGGAGATTCCACAATATGAATAAAATAAACATAATTATCCAGTTTTCTTTAATACCATCCTGGGAGAATATTATTTTTAAATTTATTAAAGATATTTTCAATAGAATTGTCTTGATTTATAACTCGTGCCCACTTTTCTTGCTCTTCCGGATACTTTAAGCTGTCTAGTATAACTATCCTTTCCACCAGGAACATAACAAAGATGAGGCATAGCACCAAAAACACACTCCACTTAAGCTTTATTGATGAATTGTTAGAGTCTCAAAAAACACACAAAAATCACGATAAATAAAAAATTTATGGGCACTTTTAGGTTAAAGCACTTAACAAAACGTGTAATATTTCGTGTTTTTTTTAATGAGAAACAGAGTGACCATCATAGTGACCATATATCTGGTAGTACTTTATGTCACTTAAACACCAAAATAATTAGTTTTTTGCATTACAATAACAAATAATACCAAAAATCAACCGACAAAATATAAATACAGAATCTAACCCAATATCTAAGTATGTACAGCTGATGAAGTAAACAAAAGTCCGCCCGGAGGCTGATCTTTTATAGAGGGCATTGCCTGGATCATATATACTTACGTGGATAAGTAAATTACTATGGAAACTGTCGCAAATATATCAACGACTTCCATTTATCTTCTTTTTTTGTTGCACACAAGGTGCTTCTACTCTATCTATCCTTGTCGGGGACCTATCGTCCGCGCGCCAAATTTGAACATTAATTTTAAAAATTAAATTTGTAAAATGCTTATATTTGAACAATAAATTGAATGTTTACCGTCACAAAAATTAGTAATGGTAGTGGTTAAACTACCACTACCATTTTAGAATTGTTTTACGCAATTACAAGACAAATATTTAAAAATTATTTTAGGTCCAAGGATGCGCAGAAAAATCTCCACAAATGTTCCATTTGTAGCTACCAAACACTCTATATATCACGCTTGCAACAACACCAGAAAATTCACTTGGCCCGAGATGAACGACAGCTGTTTGCTTGTGCACACTGTGATAAGAAATATACGGAAAAAGGAAAATTAAAATTCCACCTTGACGCTAAGCATATTGATTCCAGGTAAATTTATTATTGTTACCCCCGGTATATTCGGGTACTATTTTATCTTTGTCTTAGTGGTTAAACTACCACTACCATTTTAGAATTGTTTTACGCAATTACAAGACAAATATTTAAAAATGATTTTAGGTCCAAGGATGCGCAGAAAAATCTCCATAAATGTTCCATTTGTAGCTACCAAACACCCTATATAACACACTTGCAACGACACCAGAAAATTCACTTGGCCCCAGATGAACGACAGTTGTTTGCTTGTGCACACTGTGATAAGAAATATACGGAAAAACAAAGATTAAAAGACCACCTTGGCGCTAATCATATTGATTCCAGGTAAATTTATTATTGTTACCCCCGGTATATTCTGGTACTATTTTATCTTTGTCTTAGTGGTTAAACTACCACTACCATTTTAGAATTGTTTTACGCAATTACAAGACAAATATTTAAAAATGATTTTAGGTCCAAGGATGCGCAGAAAAATCTCCATAAATGTTCCATTTGTGGCTACCAAACACCCTATATATCACACTTTCAACGACACCAGAAAATTCACTTGGCCCCAGATGAACGACAGTTGTTTGCTTGTGCACACTGTGATAAGAAATATACGAGAAAACAAAAATTAAAATTCCACCTTGACGCTAATCATATTGATTCCAGGTAAATTTATTATTGTTACGCCCGGTATTTTCAGATATATTTTATTTGATGGATAGCAGAAAAATCGTGTATCTTCACCTGTAGAGATAGCAATATCGATTAGTTCTAAGACTTTTATAAAAAGACTTAAATCTTTTTCAATTTCGGAATAAACATTTAAATCACAAATCACTTTCAAAAAGACTTAAATTTTAAGTTTTATGTCAGCTTTCGAAAAATGACTTAAAATCAAACGACTTAAGTCATTAAAATGATTTAAATAAAAAAAGACGTTTTCTGTGAGCTTGCAGCGTATGGGTAAATTAATATCAACATACGGATGATTCAGTTCTAAATTTTTTAACAAAAACATTTTGTTAATGATAATAATTATAATAGGGTGGGGTACGTGATATTATATGTTTGAGGAACCCTGTTTTATAGAGTTACCAGACTGTTATTTAAATATTATTTTATTTTATGAATACTTACTTAATAATTACAAACGGTCGAGGTTTTTGATTTAGTAGCAAGTTTTATGGCATCTTCCGTAAATTTAAAAAATGATATTTCATTTCTTATAGATTCGATATAGTTTTGTGTACTTTTAATCATGGACGATGCAGTGGAAATTACGTAATTTGAACTTTGTAAATATCGTGATAAAATATCAATTTTTTTAAGTAGTTCTCGCCATAAAACCAATAAGAATTTAAATTTAAATGTCCCAATTATATTTAAAATACCAGACGCCTCAGCAGTTTGAATCATAAAATAATTAACTAGAAACTCCTCTATCTGCTAAAATAAAGTGGTGGGGGAATGTTAGATCTATCTTTATTCAAATGTTAATAACTCCGGACTGGATGATCAGAATCCGACAAACGAGGGCTCATTTAAAAGAGCGTTTCTTACTCTATATTATACCATAAAAATAATTATAATAAGGTCTTGAACGTAGACGTCAGGGGGCGCTTTCTTACAATTTAACAAACATAGCGCGTTTTCAAAAAGTTAAATACGATAGTATATGTAATTTTAGCTGATAGTAAAGAGTAGTAAAAGCTTAAAAAAGTCAGCGAAAACCGCATCTTGATATCTTCTTTCAAACCGAAGATATTTTCAAAATTATAATTGCCAAAAAATAAGCCCTTAATTACCTTATTTTTACAACACGGTTTCAGTAGCCCTCTTGATTATGCCCATTCTAACAAAAAAATAAGATAGAAACAGTTAGTTCGTTTTAAAATCGACGATATTACCAGGTTACCATAATACCAGATGCATTAATATCTAATAATTAAGATATTAATAAGAGTGAACAAGAAACAAGAAAAAATCGAAATAAAAATGAAACTTTTACACCCTGTATCTCCGAAACTAAGCATTTTAGGACACACATTTATACGAACTTTTTTACTTATTTTTATCTGCAAAATAAGTTTCCGGAATGCAGTTCGGACCACCCTGTATATTAAATAGAATTCCATGACTAAGTGGAAAAGGGGCGTCCACTTGACGTGATCTTACTCAGTTTAAAATATGAAGAGAATGCCCAGGCCTTCAGGCTTATTTTTCTCTAATACCCTAAATTTACAGTCACTGTTTTGAAACTTGAAAGTATTCAAAATAATGGCACTTATCAAAAAAACTTATTGAAATATTGCTATTGGAACAAAAATGTCCAGGCACATATTTTGTCATTTTAATTGTTTATTGTTTCCAGAAATGCCGATTGTACATCTTCAACTGATGAAGAAGTGATATTAGATGCTTTAAAAATCGAAATTGATGATGTCGCTTCGCCTTTGGATGACTCTAAGTATGTTTTTTAAGTGTATTTTTACTAATTTAGTGATAATAATGTAACTCATTATTTCCAGAAATTTTGAATGTTTATCTGTGACTAATGAAATAAAATCGGAAGATTTTATAAAAACAGAACCTGAAGATGTCGCTCCGATTAAGAAGACAGAGGTGCATGATGACTTTAAGTATGTTTTTTAAAAGTATTTTTATTAATGGATACGGCCATTGTGTTTTAAATATTTTCTTATTGTTTCCAGAAGTAGCGCAAATGAATCTGCCACTCGAAATGTGAAGCTAGAAGATTTTATAAAAATGGAACCCGACGATGACGTCTGACGTTTGTGGATAAAGATACGCATTTGTAGAAAAAGAAAATATTCGTAACACATTACAACCAAACAGAAGATTTTATAAAAACAGAACATGAAGATGTCGCTCCGATGTTTATTTCTCCGATCTAAGAATGTTTTTTAAATGTACACTCAGATGCAAATAAAAACGCAACAGAGAAATTTTTGGTCAAATTTAAAGTGTTTATTTTTGTTATTTTTAGCCCTATTTCCATGAATTGGACCTAGCTTTTTATTATGGAGTGTAGAGGTCGCAACCTCTACACTCCATACTTTTTATAAACTTTAGTATTTGGCATATTATACAGGGTTAATCGAGTGGTTGTTTTTTTTACCTTAACTTTAAAACATCCTGTGCAGTAATTTCGTGTGTTTAGTGCAATATTTCTCTAAATTATAATTTTACGCTCAGAACCATGACTCCTGAGCATTTTGTTTTTTGATTCATGTCCATACATGCTTTGGTTAATTTTTAAGAGCGAAATGAACTGATAACGATCAATTTGCAATTTTTTAATTATCATTTACATTCTGAGGTAATTTTTTAATATGACGAGATGGCTTTGGCCGGGAATCTGAATCCAATTATATCTTCCTTCACCATAAAGTCAAGAAAATCTTTGAAAATGAAAAAATAAATATATGGGCATGGATAGGAGTAGAAGATAAAATATTAAGATATTTGTAGCAGCTGCCAAATTATTTTGGTTTTTTAAATAGCTACTCGCTACGGTGAGAACAACAATTATTACTTTATATTATTTTTTAACCTCTTATTGTTACATTTTCCTAAGATTTTATATGACTATATTATTAAACTCTTCAAAAAGCTAATGTTTATTTTAGTATTTCAGGTAGATAATAATAATACAGAATAATTGATTCAAAAAATCAAGAATCGTGTGTCAAAAGACCGATTTTCTGAAGAATCGATTTATGTCATACATTCCTAAAGTAAAGTGTCACCACAGTATACCTAATCTGAGGTGTCACTGCCGTCTGCCGTCGATCAACTGTCAATTAAAAAGTCAATGGCTGCTAGCTGGAAATACTGCAAATATACATATTTTCTTAATTTTTACACTTACAAAGAGGTTTTATTAAATATTTGTGCTTAACTTAGGTCAATCCATATCTATATAAGGTAATAAAATGCTAATATCCGATGTTTTTACTCAATCTGTATGGAAAATTTTACGTTTTTAGTGTCTGTAATATCGACTGGAACCGTAAATACTAATAGATCCTTACTTAGGTAGGTATTATACAAAAGGTATTATTAAATATAAATGACGACACTTGTCTGAATATGTATTAAACGAATTAGGTTTAATAAGTGATAACATCTCTGTATTTGGTCTTCTCCAAGATATCTCCTTACAAATTTTAATTTATCGTGCTGGATTTATAGCTGAACTGATCTCGGGTTATTTTTTTTTCTTTCAGTTACTGATCTTTTTCTATTGCAAATGATGGATAACATAGACGAAGTAATAGAGTTAAAACCGTAAGTATGAATGTAAAGTTGTTCTTTATTAGATCTCAGTTTACAATACCTGCAAGATAATGTATTTCTGTGATATTCTCTTTCTTTTGTCTAAAAGTCAGATATACCTTTCAAATTGGTGTTTTGTTTATAATACCTGAAAGCGCACAATTTATAAGAATTTAATCAAAACAATTTGAGGATTAACAAAATGTTTATCTGATTTTTTAAATAAAGAGGCGCTGCGGTCGGAAATTGACATCAACCTATTCCGACCGCAGCGCTTCCACGGCAAAAATCAGAAACGCATCATATTATTTATGAAGCCCTTTGCTTAAGTAGTTATTGAAACTATAAAAACACCTGTGGTACGAGGTTTTTGTGATGTAACGCTGTTTTGTGTAGTGCACAAGTGAAAAAGAATTGGAACTAGGCGTCCTGTTGTGTTGTGTGACAGTTGGTAAAATGTTAATAAAATAGCAAAAAAAATGTTAATGCGTAAAGGAGAGCGTAATTAAGGTGTTGTTGGATGCAATAACACTCAATAACTCAACTTTCTGCATATTCAACCCTCCTGAAACAACATTTTATAGTTTCATAGTTTCTCACACCGATTTGCCTAATAGCAAAAATGGGATTCTCTTCAAGCAGTTCGACGAAACAAATGAGTAAACAAAGCGCTTGTTACATGAACAAACAATTAAATAGACATATACTATGAAAGTTGATCAATAAATATAATTTATAAAAAAAAAAAAAAAAAAAAAAAATTGTGATTAAATATTTTATGAATGTCTTCTAAAATTCTAATTCTGTACCTAACCTAAATTTCAAGCTTTCAGCGAAATAGCCCCAATTATACCCACTAGCAAAAACTGGTGATTAAAACCATGCTCCCAAATTATTAGTTGAACCTATCTAAAAGTTTTTTTAACTGGAATAATAAATTATAATACAAGTTAGCCCCCAGTTTCAAATATTTACTTTTTATTTTTATTTTGGAATTTTCACAAATTATATTTCCAACACTTTTAGAATAATTAAACAATAAATTTTCCGTATACTCGCTATTTCAACCCGTGTATTTGTATATGCTAGTTGTTTACGATATTCCCGGATGGTGGCAGCACCGGCGAGAATGCACCAAGCCTGTAGGAAAATCAATAAAGTTATGCTAATGTCATTCAAATATTTTTGACGAATACACGTCACAATGTTGCCACTGCTACTTTACTTGACTTTTTATCGGCTATTATGAAACACTTTATATGAAAAATATTTATAGGGTTACAAGACTGTAATATTTAAATATTCTTTTATTAGATTGAAAGAAACTGATAAAAAAGTCTATAAATGTGCCAAATGTGGCTTTCAAACGCTATATAAAAACAAGTCTTACAAACACAAGAAAACTCATTTAAGCACCGGAAGAATCCAAGTTGTTTGCTTGTACACACTGTGACAAGAAATATACATCGAGACAAGGCTTACGTCGTCACATTGAGGATAATCATATTGATTCTTGTAAATTTATTTTTGTAACACATTGCTCCTATACGTTCTCTGATCAAATTAAAGTACTAAAAAAATTGATTTTAGGTCAAAGAATCCGCAGGAAAATATCCATAAATGTTCCATTTGCGGCTACCAAACCCGACATGTGGCATACTTTAGAGAACACCAGAACATTCATTTGACACTAGAAGAACGACAGATGTTTGTCGCGCATTGTAAGTGTTGTGTTACACACAAAAAACACACTTAAGATATCACATTGAACGTAATATTTGTATTGATTCCAGGTAAATTTATTTTTAGGATAAGAATTGCTTCCAAATCATAGGCGTATCTCGATTTTTGGCGATTTTGAGATATCAACGTCATGACATGTCCATTGGGTAATTTTTTTACATAGCGAATTTGTGCATCTCAATATTATATCTTTTCTATTTTCTATTCATTTAAAAATGTGCCCCACCTCAAATACTAGAATTCTTCGTTATGAAGAAGAGACGTAAGTTGAGATAGGGCTCTTTTGTTATGTCTACTTCGTTATACCCTCTAGATCATATATACTTATGGATAAGTAAATTACTATGGAAACTGTCGCAAACATATCAACGACTTCCATTTATCTTCTTTTTTTGTTGCACGCGGTTCTTCTACTCTATCTATCCTTGTCGAGGACCTATCGTCCGCGCGCCAAATTTGAACATTAATTTTAAAAAAATTAAATTTGTAAAATACTGAGTATTTGAACAATAAATTGAATGTTTATTGTCACAAAAATTAAATTATCTTTAAAAAATACATTTAGACACTCCGTACGAATATCAATATTCTTAGGAAATTCAACCATATGCGGTGGGTGGGCTTAATATAAATCAAAGAACAACTGAGTAATTTACTTGCCTATGAAAAGATAATTGGAGTATTTAGAAAGTCAAACGAAAAAAGAAATAGAAATATAATTGCACAAATTTAAAATTAACTTCTCACTGAACACACTTGCATCATTGGCTATATAAAAGGGGTCGATAAAAGAGTAATTAATACAATTCTTAAATTAAAAAACGCAAAAAACAAACGTCGTTACACAATGGAAATAAGACTATTACATATGATTATGACAATATGATGACAATTTTGATGCCAATGAAAAGTTGGTTTCCATAACAATGTATAATTTGTACTTTCTAAACCGTATGTAGGGATTATTTGGGAAATACAAAAGTAACTTTTTGGGCCGAAGCCTAAAGTCAGGTCCTGGAGAAAGACAAACCTATTGAACGTTTGATGCGTGCACAAGGTTTGAAAATGGCATGTCGTGATGCTGGAGACGTATTTTTAATGCTAAACTTATTGCGTTGATTTATCCATGGCATATACCGGTATGTATCATGGGATTAGGAAATCCCATGTAAATTCTTAATGGGATCAATTATTGGCTTCCCCTTAAATTATTTTGTAGAATAATTTATTTAGGTTTATAGAAGAGCACTAAAACCCGCATTCAACAGAATAACTTTAGATATTTTTGATTAGCCCGTTTACGAGTTATCGCCGATTTCTTTTTAAATATTTCTCCTTTCTTATGGCCCTGTATTTACTTATGAGCACCAGTCAAGGTAAAAGATAACTGTCAAACGAGGGGTAAACCGCAGAGGGAAAAGTGTACACCGTAATTCCTTTTACTCAAATAATTCCTCAGAATTCCTCGTAATTCCTGGTCTTCAAGGTCAAGGTCAATCATTCAAGGTCTTCCTTGGAATTCCTTGGTACGAACTCGGTAACTCTGTCAGTCTGAACCCCAGCGTTGCCACCTCGGTTTCGCAGTTCCGCAAAGAATTTTCAGGCAGATTTTATAAAATGTCTAATGTCTCCCCTAAGTAAGTACTCAGATCTACAATTAAAAAAAGTACTCATTACGAGATTTACGTTTTTTTTGTTAAATTTTAGACCAATAGGGGATCATGAGGTGAAAATACTAGAAATATATCGGCACTTTACTTATTAAAATTAATTTTTCTCGATTTTTTTTTTTTTTCTAGAAATATTCCTTTGTATGTATGTAAAGAAATTAATAAAACTTCAGTTGCACGTCATACGATCACCTGTAAATTCCATAAGATTACGTATGGTATCATTGATATGAAGTGCACCTAAAGTTGTAATACTCTCCATAGTATATACTCTAGGTATTATTCCGAGGAAATGAAAAAATCAACTTTACACTTTCTGAGTACTGAATAAAAAAATCTTATAAGGGTGTCTTTAAAATGGCGAAATCAGGAAACGTTATAAGTAGATCTCTCGGGGATGGTTCGGCCTCGCAAATTATTGGAAAAATATTTTTGATATATAATCGAGGGTACATATTAAATTAAAAGAATATCTGATCTGTAGATATTTGATATTGGGAAATTTTGGAAGCGAAACGAAAAACGGATAGTAAAAAATCGCCTGTAAAAACGTTTCTTTTAAATTTAGTACTACCTATTATAGTATTCATGGTTTACTAATGTTCGTTAATTTTTTTATAAAGTTGTTTGTAATTCCTCTTAATTCCTGTGGAATTCCTTTAAATTTCTAAGGAATTCTGAAATTCTGAAATAATTGAAATTCTGATTAATTCCTGGAATTCATTGGAATTCCTCGTAATTCCCTGGAATTCCTGTAGAATTCCTTCATAGTTGTACACCATAATTCCTCTGTGGTTTACCCCTCGACCAAGGTCGTGTAAAATGAAGTTAAGCTCGCTTCAGAAATTACCTATTTAGTGCTTTTATTATTATTGAAAACTCATTCCTACATCGGAAATCTTAAAGATGTATGCATAAATACAAATTAATATGAATTAAAGTAAAATAAAGTAACTCAATTACAAGGTTAATTATAGTATTATTACAATATTCAAATAACTTAGTAATTTAGGGTAAATTATTAAATTGTTAGAACTTTTTAGGATTTAAGTAGATGTTCAAATATTCCACCATCGATCAAGTTAGACACAACCCAGGCGATATAAAAATTCTCTCTCTTCTTCCATTCGCTAGTTGGTAAACTGAAATTCTATTGTATTCGGCAGAAATAGAAATAGCATTCCAAGGTCCAAGTTTGCGCAGAAAAATCTCCATAAATGTTCCATTTGTGGCTACCATACACCCTTTATATCATGCTTGAAACGACACCAGGAAATTCACTTGGCCCCAGATGAACGACAGTTGTTTGCTTGTGCACACTGTGATAAGAAATATACAGAAAAACGAAAATTAAAATTCCACCTTGACGCTAAGCATATTGATTCCAGGTAAATTTATTATTGTTACCCCCGGTATATTCGGGTACTATTTTATCTTTGTCTTAGTGGTTAAACTACCACTACCATTTTAGAATTGTTTTACGCAATTACAAGACAAATATTTAAAAATGATTTTAGGTCCGAGGATGCGCAGAAAAATCTCAATAAATGTTCCATTTGTAGCTACCAAACATCCTATATATCACACTTGCGACGACACCAGGAAATTCACTTGGCCCCAGATGAACGAAAGTTGTTTGCTTGTGCATACTGTGATAAGAAATATACAGAAAAACGAAAATTAAAATTCCACCTTGACGCTAAGCATATTGATTCCAGGTAAATTTATTATTGTGGCCCCCGGTATATTCGGGTACTATTTTATCTTTGTCTAAGTGGTTAAACTACCACTACCATTTTAGAATTCTTTTACGCAATTACAAGAGAAATATTTCTAAAAATTATTTTAGGTCCAAGGATGCGCAGAAAAATTTCCATAAATGTTCCATTTGTAGCTACCTCAAAACACCCTATATATATCACACCTCTTCAACGACACCAGAAAATTCACTTGGCCCCAGATGAACGACAGTTGTTTGCTTGTGCACACTGTGATAAGAAATTTACAGAAAAACGAAAATTAAAATTCCACCTTGACGCTAATCATATTGATTCCAGGTAAATTTATTATTGTTATCCCCGGTATTTTCGGGTACAAATAGCGCTTTATAATCCGCCAGATATATTTTATTTGATGGATAGCAGAAAAACGTGTATCTTCACCTATAGACTCTAGTGTATCTTCACCTAAACAACATATTATTGAGTCTACCCCACGTCTACTCTACGTGTCATAGTTTTTCACTTTTTAAATATAAAATAAAATTAGAACGGCACTCTTCTTATTCAAAGAACGGCACTGATAAACCGGAATTTAAGTCGGCCATATTTGAGTCCGATCGTGGTGGGTCTAACATTTTTGATAAGCTCCTTCCTTACTTTTTTTTTAAGTTCCAAACCGTATAAAATTGTGATTATTTTGGAAATACGTGCAACCTTTAATGCGCATGGCACAAAGTAAGGTCCTCGAGAAAGACAAACCTATTGAACGTTTGATAAGTGCAATAAAGAAGGTTTGAAAATGGCATGTCGTGATGTTGGAGACGTATTTTTTAATGCTAAACTTATCGCGTTGATTTATCCACGTAAGTACTAAAGAGTACTTTATTGAACAAAACCTAGGAATACAGAAAAAATATTCATACAGGCTCATCCTTTCATTACATCTATATCACAGATCAATCAAATATAATTATAGATAATTTTTTTTTTTTTAAGATAAAGTTACACAACATGATAAAAGATACTTGTATTATTTTACTCTTAACCTTTAGAATATACACACAATAAAGTTTCTACAAGTGCAATTTTACAAGTTTACAAGTGTACAAGTTTAGAACATAAATTCTATATACAAATAAAAAAAACCAATCAGTCTACGAATCCTGTCAGAGCAAGTCTACTTTTATTTTCCTGCCCCTTGTCCTTGAAAAACATATTTTTGAGTTGTACCAATGTTAGCAGTTATTTAAATTCAACGTTAAAGAATCTGGGAGTTCGTTGTACAACTTAGCTCCATTATATGAGATGGAGGTTTGCCACTTGCAGGTGAGCATTTTAGGCAGATTTACATCATTACGCCTCCTAGTGTTGTGATCATGCACCTGGGCCCTCCTATCAAATTTGAGGACAGAGTGTTTGGCATTTAAAATAATTCCATGTATACATTTAGTAGTATTCAAAGACATTATAAAGATAGACCGAACATCTCATTCATAAATACTCGTTGGAAGTGTATCAAACATTCCAATGTGTCAAACAAGGACAGAAGAGACAAAGAAGTCTAAAATTTCCGACCCCGGCAACTAGGCGCATTTGGATTGTTCTAATGGCCAGTGGCGTATCGTTTTTGGAACGAATTTAATTAGTAAAAGTACTTAGTAAAATTTTTACTCCATATTAATATACTACATTAACACTTTTTCGTCAAATGAAAAAAATAATAAAAAAAAACATAATAAATATAATTGATATCCCATATATACTTATGTTGAAACGTTAGCAGTTTTCGAAAATCGCTTCAACGTCGATATTCAATTTAAACTTTCAGTTACTTCTATATAAACTTTCAATTACTTTTGAATATTTACAGGTGTACTCAAGTTTGAAAAAGCTCTATATTAGGTTTTGTGGTTGGTGACTCAATCTTTTTTCATAATATGGGAGGGCAATGGTAAAGTTAATATTTTAGACATTTGTAAACATAGGTGGTCGGAACATATTTTTAAACTAAAGTTAGATTCATTAATAAATTTCATTCCAGAAATACCTAGGTTGCTTAAATTGTCCTTTTTCGAAAGACAAATTTCATTGTTTTTGTGAAATAACTTGTCCTTGACTTTTGACTTAAAATGGCCTTTTATTACGTATTTTCCCTGAGAAAATTACCCACAGCAAAATGAAATATTCTTTTCTGTCCAAATTTAATTAGAGATGTTATAAAGCTTATAAATAAATTTTCTTTGTTTAGAATAGGCAACATTATTTAGAACTTCCCCTTTAATCCTTCAAAATGTGATAGTTCAGGTTTTAGTTTTACCTTTTTTGAATCTTAAAAAGAACTTTTCAAAAATTAGTAATTAGTAAATACCTCCTTAGTTAGTTCAATCGATAGCTTCCTGTGAAGTACTGTGTAATAGTTGTTTAATCTTGTATTAATAACTTCCTATCATCAATATTTAATGAGAAAAATTGTGTTTTTTTTGAAAATATAAGACAAGATTTGACTTTTTCGGTCTTCTTCTTGTATATGATGGCTCTGATACGAGGTAATTACTTTTTAATCTCTCAATAGAAGGCATTTATCATTAAAATTATCAAATATGTGTGCTACAGTATGGATTTCAAGTCGGCTGGCCAATGAATATTACGCTTATTTACAAATCCATTACTTAGGTAGCTTCATCAGACAATCAAATTTAGTTAAATGTCCCAATCTTCTTGAACTGTATTAAGCATATATGTATTGCGGTTTGAATCACCCTGTATGTTAAAAAATAAAAAAATATTTTGAAAATGTGTGTTACAATGACCCCCATCTTATGTAAAAAAAAAAATTGAAATAAAATCACAAAACCACAAAAAGGTAATAGGTGAAAAGTTTTTTGGAGGCCTGGGTCACTCTGTATAGGTACAATGTCTAAAAAACTAGTAGCTCAAAAAATAATTTACACTTCGTCCCATTCTAAAAAAAGTGAAACACACCGTACAAATAATTCTAGGAAGAGGTATTTGTACGGTGGTAAAAAAAATTGTTCAAACAAGGCCGAAGGGGCAGTTATAATAAAGCAGTAAAATGTAAAAAAGGTCGGGTAACCACCTTTGATTATTTGTTGAGCAAAATTTTTAGAATATTGTATATAATGACCAAAATATGACGCAATTTTAAGAAAAATGTCACTTTTCATTAGTAATAAAGTTTCAAAATGCAACGTGTTTATATTCAAATTTGTTATCATCTACAACAGTTAGGTAGTAATTGAGACGAATTATAATTCAATTACCGGCTACTACGTTCCTGTTTTAATAGATAAAAATTCAACAAATATAATTTAGAAATTATTTTTAATTGTTAGCCCCTCAGGGACGCCTACGTACAATTACGGCGGAAATTTGTACCTACCTGTAAAAAGACAAATTCGGGTAACTTGAGCTTATTTTTCCACACGCTTGACACTGTCGTACCATATTGAAAATTCGCAGATCCAAAAAGTAACCAAAACAAAACAAAACTACTAAAAATACCCTCCGAAAGTTCACTGGACTCTTGATTCCGACTTCAAAAACACACCGTAAGCTAAACACCGTAAGCTACGGCCGTCGCGAGGGGTGGTGGACGGACGGCTCATTTCATTTTCATTCTGGAAGACTAACAGCGACGTTGCCAATAGCTCTAGACGTTTCAGCACATTAAACAGTAAGCATGTCCTTTAATAGTAACGCATATATCCTTTTGTTAATAAATATTACGCATGCTTTAAAAAATAAACTATTCTATTTAATTAAGAAATTGAGATTTATTGATATCCGTGAAGGTTTTAAAGTCACCTTTTCTGCAAATCAAACTAAGTAGATAGGCGCAAATTTGAGATGTGGCAATGTCGCCTTCTCTATTTCAGTTGGTTTTTACAGTACGTAGTCAACCTCCGATTGTTTGATCGGGTTAAAATGCACAATGTGATATCTGTTCTTCCTAAATCTATGGTAGTAATACTAAGTATATAATATGATCTAGGTGTTATACCAACTAGCTTTTTCCCGCGACTTCGTTCGCGTTACACCTCGAATCGTTCATGCATTGATTTAAATGATTGTTTGCCTCTTTATGGATAGAGCAGTTCAACGAAACAGAGATTCAAGCAGTTCGACGAAACCAGTGAGTAAACAAAGGGCTCGTTACATAATCAAAAAATTAAATAGACATACCGGGTGTTGCATCGTCGGACGGGATATAGGAAATCCCATGTAAATTTTAATGGGGTCAATTATTGGCTTCCCTAATTATTTTAGAGAATAATTTCTATTTAGGCTTATTTCACTAAAACCCACATTCAAAAGAATAACTTTAGATATTTTTGACATCACCCCTGTATGTATGATTCAGTACTAAATTTTAACAAAAAACATTTGGTTAATGATAATTATAATAGTGTAGGGTATGATATAATATTATGTTTGAGGAACCTTGTTTTATAGAGTTACGAGACTGTTATTTAAATATTCTTTTCATTTTTATTAATACTTATATTTTTTTTTTTTTTTTTTAATTTCTTTTATAAAAAAGTCTATAAATGTGCCATATGTGACTTTCGAACGCTACATAGGGCAAGTCTTCACAAACACAAGAAAACTCATTTGGCACCGGAAGTCCGACAGTTGTTTGAATGTACGCACTGTGATAAGAAATATACATGGAGACAAGGCTTACGTCATCACATTGAGAATAAGCATATTGATTCCAGGTAAATTTATTTTCGTGTAGCCTCCCGCATACCGGGTGTTGCATCGTCGGACGGGACATAGGAAATCCCATGTAAATTTTAATGGGGTCAATTATTGGCTTCCCTAATTATTTTAGAGAATAATTCCATTTAGGTTTATTGAAGAGCGCTAAAACCCACATTCAAAAGTATATATAATAACTTTAGATAGCTTTTTGATTAGCTCGTTTACGAGTTATCGCCGATTTCTTGTTAAATATTTCTCCTTTCTTATGGTCTTATGGCCCTGTATTTACTTATGAGTACCAGTCAAGGTAGAAGATAACTGTCATAAGGAAGTTAAGTTTGGCTTCAGAAATTTACCTATTTAGTGCTTTATTATTATTGGAAACTCATTCCTACATCGGAAATCTTAAAGACGTATTTATAAATACCAATAAATAAGGAATTAAAAGTAAAATAAAATAATCAATT